TAGAAAATGCTTTAAACGGTTGGGAGTCGATGACCAGACAACCAGACATTAAACGAGACTCCAATCGTTGCTATATAATAGCAGAATTTTTCAAAGCATGAACCTCAAGTAAAATATTACGGGAAAAATTTGCAAAAATTCAGAAACGAACAATTTGATCCAATTTTAGTCAGTGATAATATTCCAGGTTCGCGATTTGAGTATGATAAACATCGTAAACATATAAGGAAGAAGTCAAAAGTGTACCGTCTAGTATGCCCAAAAGGCCATGAGAGACCAGAAAAGATTCAAATTGTGTCACTGAAGCCAAGTAATCTTCAACCGCAAGGAGTTTGTTGTAAAAAGTATTTGTGATTGATGGAGCCCCAAACCCCAAAGATTGATCTGTGGAAACATAAGTGGGTACCGGTGGAGCCGTAGCCACTTGTCGGCCGATGGGACTTGCCAAGGAGGAAGACAGAAGCCCAGGGGAGCTAGAGATCGAGGGTCAGTCCAGCAAATGGTCTTATCATCATCATCATCATCATCATCATCATTATTTTGAACCAGGAGGGCAAACCACCAAAATCAGTTGGGTAAATGTCGGGAAACTTTTACAAGCTTTTATTAATGATAATAAATGAAATACAGAAGAAGAGGAGAGCCAAACCAAAACATCTTTAGTGAAGGCATACCTTCACCAAACACATGGAAGTAGAAAGAAATAATTATTTAATATTATAATTATTTAATTTATAATAAGAATAACTCAATGGGCTCAGAAATATTCAGATCAAATCAAATCAGAAAGATTCAGACTAGACAAGAAAGATTCAGATCAAATCATATGAGATATGAAAAGTTCAGATAGATCAGACCAGATCTTAAAAGTTCAGATCAGAAACATTCAGAACAGACGAACAGAATAACTTCTCAATTAATAAAATTAATTAGTAAGCATATTGCTTGCAAAAACAAACCGATCAAATAAAAAAAATCATCAATAAACAATGAAAAACGTCAAGAAAAATGGATAGAAATAATTCAAACTATTATTGATCTGCTTGAATTAATATACATAAAGAAGATTTAATTAACATAATAGGGAGATGTACTTGTCCCTGAGTTGTTTTCTCATCATCCATAGATAGGACTAAACATTAACTTTCTACCCCTAATTTAATTAATATATATAATTAATTCCCCGTAGTTCTCTTGGATACGGGATCAATCTGTTGGCGGTGACGACGGCGTCACAGGTAGTGAAACTCCAATGACCGTCGACGGTAGGGTGTAGTGGCGATATCTGAATGACTTTTGCTCTGCATGAGCTCCGGCTACCGGAAGCGGCACTGTGGCAATGGCAAGGCTAATACCCCTGCAAGGGTATTCATGTCCAATCACGTTAAAAAAACTCTCATTTGAGGAATCTTAAAAACCTACTAGTATTTTTTCACTTCTAACACGTTCTACTCCTATTTGGTGAATGATCTCTTTATTCTATTTTTATTATATTGGGAGATTTACCTAATTAGGACCTACTCCCTCGGTCCCTTAAAACTTTGTCATCTTTCCTTTTTAGGACGTCCCAAAAAACTTTGTCACTATCACTTTTAATCAATTAGTTTGTGGTTTCTGTTATTTCTGTCTCCTCTGCACGTACAAACATCAACCACAAAGTTTTTACTTTATTACTCTCCGTGCCGGTCAACTTTGCTAAAATTTTAAGGGACAGAGATAGTACTATTTATAATGCCTTAAATAGACCCTTTTGTTTGTGATTAGGCCAAAAGACCCTCATAGTGCTGGACCACACCTGCCCTCAGGTCTCCGGACCGTCGGCTGCCACTGTTTTTTTTTCTAGAAAATTTTCGATGACCTGCTAGAATTCTACCGCTGTCGGAGGATGTTGCTGCCACCACAGACTGATCTGCCACCAACGGACTAACCTTGGTTATGCAATGGAACTGTGAGAAATTAATTAGGTTAATTAATTAATTAATTAATTTAATTAGGTGAAATTGCCCTAAATGGGTAAAAATATGGAAAAGATTCTTTTTCGGCTAAAAATATGGAAAAAGAAATTTCGTGGCCCTAAATTTGTCTTACTAAGACAGATGACATGAAAACTTCTAGCATCTTTCTAACTACTAGAAAAAAATATTCAGCTCTCACAAAAGATAAGTTTATAGTTGATTAACATTTAAAATTCGTAGTATCACATAAAATATATTCAATATAAACTAAATGAGTTGGTGGTACAAATGGTGTAAAATTCATAATTTTATACAAATGAATCGTGTAAAATGTATTGTGTACTTTAGTTATTTATTGACATAAATACAATGAGCTATTGTCATCGTCAAACATCTTTTCGTGCAAATAGAATATAAAATATAACAAATACACGTAGGTCTTATAATTAACTTTGTCATAATGAATGTATGAAAAGTATAAAAGTTAAAATAGTATACTCTGTATATGCTAAACTTGTAATTTTTATAGGGAAATTACCCTAAATAGGAGTAAATAACTTTGCGAATTCCAAAATAGGATCACTAGGTTTTTATTTCCGAAATAGGAGTCGTTACTGTCATGATCGAAAAATATTGCCATGATTGAAAAATACTGTCATTCATTATAATAAATATTGTCATGTTAAATGCACAATACTGCAACTATTTGGCAGTAATGACTAAAACATGGCAATAAATATTGTCATCTTAGTCCTATTTCGGGAAGAAAAACTGACGTGCACTTTGTCGTGAGGTGCACTCAAAATAAATATCAATACGACACTAATACGTAGTATAGCGAAGTAAGGTTCGTATCCACAGGGAAAGGAATATTTCTCCTTTTAATTAACTAGTAACAAAGGGGGGGGGGGTTAGATTTGATTTGATTTAATTAACACTAAGATGAATGACTTAAATGAGTTTAATTAATGAGAAGAAGACTTGGCTTTGCTTTTATCCACTTAATGAAATGTTCGTCGATCCCGGTTATATCTTTAACTATCTTCCTCTCGAATACTCAATCGAGGAGTATATCCAGTTCATCGAGGGTAGTTATTAATAACGAGAAGCGTTCATTAATAAAACTTACTATCGAGTCAATATAGAACAAGCGCCGTATATTAAATTGATAGTAGCAATAAACTTAAGATGAAAACGATTGAGATTGATAACCTCAACACAAGCGGTTTATTGGTTTAATCAATATAATTAATTCCCCTTAGATTATTAACCATGAGATGCATGCATTAATAATCCAAGTTTACTACCATGAAAGGACCGAATTAATAACAAGCGTATTAATCGACCGATTCTAGTATTAATTAATATATGAAACAAAACTAGTTGATCCTTTAAGTAATGTTCAAAATATTAATATGAAATATGAATAGGAATTAATTAATACTCAAGAAAGAATATTAAAGAAGATGAATCCTACTATAGTTAATATCAAGATGTTAACTAATTGTCATCTTAGTAACACTCCCCAATATTAACGTAGAGGAAGAAATAATTATTACTATAACTAATGTCAAGATGTTAACTAATTGTCATCTTAGTAACACTCCCCAACATTGATATAGAAATAGTATTTAAAGGAAGAATTAATATTCAAGGAAGAAGATTAAAGAGAATAACTCACAACTTACAAATTCATTAAGCTTCAATGTAGCAAAACCAAGATGGAAGAGTTTAGTTCCTCATTTGGAGACTAAACATACTATAAAAATATAAAAGAAATACTATTCTAAACTGAGCTTAAGAGTATGGAAGAAGGGATGCTTAAAAGTGAAGGAAAATGGGGCTATTTATAGGTGTTTTGAAGGTGCTGCACCGGATAACCGGCCGGGTATTTGAGATACCCGACCGGGTATTTGTCAAAATCAAATATTTTGCCCACGATTTTGTGTTTTCTGCACGTCTTTTTGTCCGGGTCACTTCATACCCGACCGGGTAAAGGCTATACCCGACCGGGTAAGTCACCAAATCACATTTCTTGCATGATTTCTTGTTCCCATGCACTTTCTTTTGATCTTGTAAGATTCCTTCCATGATCCTTTGTTGATTCTTGATTGTTTCTTGCTCAAGATGATTCTAAATTTACTAAATTACAACAAACTAGAAAAATAAAATGATTGCACCTTAAATGTGCAATTACCACAACAACACATCATAAAAAGTAATTAAAAGTAAAAATATAAACACTCAAAAATCAATGCAATCAAAAACATAAGAGACCTATTTTGGAATTCCAAACTCTATTTAGTCCTATTTTGGGAAATCTCCCTTTTTTATATGAGGGTGAACACAAATACAAAGCATGTTTATAAAAATTATAAGTTGTTCGGTTCGATTTGCGACTTTTCAATTGAAACTGAATCAAAGCAAATCATTGGGTTTGAACAAATTGTTACTAAACAGTTTACTTAACTGAACCCAATTAAATCAATCCAAAGTACTGTTTTTTAGTTTTTTTGGTTTGGTAAATCACGCAATTTTGCTCGTAGCTGGTACCTAGTACTCCCTCCGTCCCGCTAAAATTCTCAGTCCCTCTTCACTTGCTCAATACAAATCACTCTTAATCTCTTACTTTATATATCAAATTTGATTATGTTGTTGCGACTTTGTAAAACTAATTTTGTTGTAGTTTCTAAATATGATGTTTTTTAAATAATAATTTGAGTGCGAACAAGTATTTGTTTGTTTTATCATCGTTCAAGCATCATAAATCAGACTGTCTCAATTTTAATGGAACCGATGGAATGGAGCAGTATTTAGTGAGTCTTAAGATAAAGTGGAGGTAGAGGAAATATAATATTTCGTCAAAGATAGAAGACCGGCCTAGCTTCCTACTCCAGTACGTACGTATCCGATTCTTACATCTTACATATGACAGAAAAGTTGTTTTTTTTTAAGAGAAAAGTTAATAAGCACCATAAAAAGAATAGAAAAAGGCAATTATACTGATGCCACAACACATATTTTATGCTTTCCAAACGAATCTCACTGCTTTCCTTCGATCTATTTCATCACCTTCCATAGTTCCTAAGACACTTGTTCTATATAGTCATGACTTGCATTGCTCGTTATATTTATATAGAAACCAATATTTATTTATTCATTATTGATATGATGGCTCCAAATCGGCTGGTAGTTTGATTTCATCTGTTTATTTCTTCATTTTCAAGGATCAACTCACATGGTACCGTGATTCTATCTTGAATTGACCTATGCGTTTCTTTTGGTTTGAGTATTGAGATAGGGATATTTGGAAATGATTATGTTTTTGTTTCTTTTTTAAAATCAGAATTAGAATAAAAATTAGTTTTTGAAAAGTTGGTATCACCCAGTTTCTAATTAAGACACTTGTTCTATAAACAATTTCGAGCTCTCAGAAATACTTATGCACTTCTAATATATAAATCCTTCAATGTATATTTCTATTTCATGAAGAAGCAGAAACGATTTTATGGAGTAGATCCAAACACCATTAAGTTTATACGTTTGTAATAACAATATAATGTGATGAGCTATTAAGGAGTATATAAGAGAATTCTCAAAAAACGGTACATTTTCGTTTCAAAATACTCTATAGAGACTCTCTAATTAAATGGTTGTTTTTCGGCGTTTCTCGTTTCATGTTCCTCCTAATAATAAATAATGCAGGCAGCGAGAACAGACACGAAGAAGAAAATAACCGAAATCGGGCCGCGTGGTGGGCCTGGAGGCCGTGCTTGGGATGATGGGAATTCTTACGATGGAATAAGAGAGATAACAGTGGCTCACGGACATTGCATCGACTCCATTACTGTAGTTTACGATAAGCATGGCAAAGCATCTCCTGCTGAAAAACATGGAGAAGATGGTGCCATCGGGGTGCCAAAACCACATGTCACAACGGTACTATATGCGTTCATTTAATTCAGATGCATGCCTGGTTTTAATTCAAGGAATAATGATTTAATTTAATTTAATCCCTCTATTTCATACGGAGTATACAGTACATTATAGTATTAAACTACAGAGTACTTGTTTTATATGGAGTACTTTAATTATTTTTTTTAAATTAATGCTAATTAATTAATTAATTACGAAAATAATGTTGGGTTAAAAGTATTTACCGATCTACTGCTGGGTTTAACCATGGTCGGGGAAAGTCGTCAAACCGTTTGGCGACTTATAAGTCGCCATCCGGTTGGGCGACTTATAAGTCGTGAAACGGTTTGACGACTTACCCCCTGTCATATTAAATCCATATCTATCTCTATAAATAATACATTTCAAGGATACAATTATGGAAAGGTTTGACACATGTCATCTTCTAAGCAAACATTCATTATAATATTGTAGATTTTTTTTCAAATTGAGTACATTAATTATACTTCCGTTAGAATAGTATATAACTTAGATTAGAACTCACCTTAATTTAAGACTAAACAGAATCCTACGTAACAACCAATACTTAAAAAACTTTTTAAATAGCTATAAATTTTTATTCAAAAAATAAAATTTCATGTTTATTTTAAAGTACTATAACTTTTCTGTTCGTACTCTGATTGTTACAAAAAATATATCAAATTTCATAATTTTTTATTATCCTTCAAATGACACCAATATTGAATATATAAAAATAAAAAAAAAACAATTTAACACTTTAAAAATACTCTTTTATGAATTTGATATTTTTTGTGATAGTTGGAGTACAAATAAAAATGTTACAACACTTATAAAAACATATGTTTAAAATATATAATCTAAAATGTTTTTGACATTTATATGGATGAAATTATTATCTAAGCTTCAATATTTTAAATAAAAAACATTAACAAGTATGTTTAGAATGTTAATTGCACACTCAAAAATTATTACTGCCATCAACCCACTAACATTGGGACATGCGGGAATGACAAGATTATTAAGAATAATGAGTTTATATGATTGATATTGAATTGATAAAGTAAGAATAAAATAAAAATGATTTGGAGCCAAACAAACTTTATGAAATTTGGTATGAACAATCTTGGTGGATTTTCCGAAAAGAAAAATGGGACAATCTAAATGGGACGGAGGTAGTATAATATTTAAGTAATTTACTTAAAACTATAATTATAGTGTAATTTCATAAAATTACATTTGTGAAAGAAAAAACATATGATTTCTTTCAAATAAAAAATAAAAAGAAAAAAAATATGATTATTATGCTAAAATAACTCTTTACATAAAGTTGGGGTGTTTACCCCCACATCCCTCAAAAGCTCGGGGTCTTTATATTATTTCCTCCCGGTATATATTAATATAATCTTAATATATGTTGGTCGAGAGTTTCAGCTCTCAGAAAGTTTTATTAATTACATAGGATATCGTGACACTAAAATTGGTGTTTAAGATTTAGATAAATAAGCTAGACTGTATATAAAAGGTATATGATAATTGTTTTGCTTATGGATGTAATTTTAATACTCCCTCCATTCCATTAGAAGGTTCACATCCACTATTCATATGGTCAACTTAAATCATTTTTAATCTCTTGCTTTATATATCAAATTTTTATCAAATTTACATTTTTTATTAGGCTTTATAGCGGTTTTAATGTAGTTTTTGAATATGTAAAATTTTTTACTAAAAATAATCAGAGCGTGAACAGGGATTAAGTTGCTTTATCATCAGTCAAGCATCGTAAACCGAAGCGGGAATCTTCTAGCGGGACGGAGGGAGTATAAATATTCCCTCCGTCCCATAAAATTGTTTCCGCATTGACTTGGATCAGAGTTTAAGAAAGTAGGAATAAAGTGGAAATGTATGGTTGTGGTTGAGTAAGAAAAAGGTAAATGAATGGTAACCACAAAAAACTTTCCAAAAGGTATGTTTGGAATTAGTTCAAAAATAAGATATACTTAATAAATTAGAATATGCATTTTAAACAAATGTTATAATCGATTAAATAAGTGATTTTCCCTTACTAAAACTAAACAACAAAACCATCTTATCAAAACCATCTTATCTCATGCACGGCACATGTAAATATACTAGTTTATTCCATTTCAGAACATCCGAAACCAGCCAAACAGGTTTCGGATGTTCTGAAATGGAATAAATATGGATTTATTGTGGCAGGGGGTAAGTCGCCAAACAGTTTGGCGACTTACCCCGACCAGGGTTAAGCCTAGCAGTATATCCGTAAAGAGTTTTAACCCAACCCTATTTTCGTAATTATTTAATTAATTAGCATTAATACGCAAAAAACTCTTTACTTACTTTAATAAGTGTTTCTACGTGTAAGAGATAATTACTTTTTGGGGATTTTTACTTCTGTTCTTTTGGTAGTGGACACTTTTTGGTTTATTACGTAGTACAGAGTACTTCGTATTATTTTATTTTTTCCCGTTTTTATTACTCCGTATTAATTTATAGATATTTTTAATATTTTTATATTTTTATTATAATATAACTACGATTATCTTACTAATGAAATAAATATATTAGAAATTACAGGGAGAAGAAAAATACATTACCTCTATTTTGAAGAAAAATAAAAGATTATAACCATATTGTTAAGGATGGCAATGGGGGGGGGGGCCGTGGGGGGAATTGGGGTGGGGTGGTGGGGCGGGGTGGTGGGGCGGGGCGGGTGATGGGTTATGCACCCCTGCACCGTCCCCCGTATATATACACATATTAATAATTAATAGTAATAATCACAATAATAATATATAATACTAATAACAATATAGTAGTAGTAATAAAAGTAATACTAGTACGAAGTAATTAAAATAGCATGGTAGTCCGGTGGGTTTAGTGGTTTCCTATCTATTGGGTTGTGCCTAATGGGTCTATCTAATTCTTGTTTAATAACTCAGCGATCTTGTAAAATTGCTTATCAAAATCATAAACTAAAATGATTTTTTTAGGGATAAAGTAAAATGAATTTGGGAAAGTTATAAAGTGATATCAGCTTAAACGCCTCAGACAGAGTGTGAAAGTTTTATTCTTTTTAGTATTGCAGTGCATTAATTCTTTTCTTATGAATGTCATCTTTATGATTATAGTTAGGGCTCTTAAAAATCTGGTAACCATAGATCGTCCTAGATGCTGTCAAATGAACATGGTTGATTGAATGCAGGGTTTAAGAAAATATTATAGAGCTAATCAATGCTAATAAAGTGTTTGATAAAATAACTAAATCAAAACGTGTATAATGTGTTCTAGATTTGAAATGGGATGCAAGATTACATTGCATATTGACACTTAAAAATTAAAAGATTTTTTGGCTACCAGAAGTGTTGTTTAATTTTTGGAAAACTGACAGGGTCTAAAATGGTGTTAATTTTTTACGAATATTTCTCCCGTTGGGTGCCCATGGGTCTAGCGCGGCGGGACGGGGATGGGGCGGGTCGAATAGTAGTGGGGGATGGGGCCGGGGTGGGGCGATTTCTTAGACACGGGGGTGGGGGATGGGGGAGTGAACCCCCGCCCCAACCCCGCCCCATTATATTGTCATCCCTACAATTAGGACTATTTTTAGTCCTGCTTTGGGCTAAGCTAATAGCCGATAAACGAAAATAAGTGAGTTTAGTTACATGTATTACATGTTTGGCATGCATAACCTCATACATACCCCGTATTACTAATCTTTCAAAGAAAAAGCTTTTACACTATTAATAAAAAATAAACTACTTATAAATACTCAATTATATTTATATGTGTCGCACAACAATTTTAATATGCTTTTAAAAAATAAGGATATTTCTGGTACAACAAAAAGAAATGATCCTTTGTAAGTATTTTAATAACTGTTATGTAGTAGCTTTTAGTGGTTGAAAAGTTCTTAAAATGAAACTGTTGTGGTTATTTGATAAAAACTGACTGTTTAATTTAGGAGAGAAAATGGTGAAATGAGGCTTTCTACTTTTATGAAATTGCCACATAAGATCATGTACTCAATAAAGTGTCAAGTAAATATGTCTACATAAAAAGCAATTAGATGAGTGCTAACGACCTGTTGACAATCTCGTAATCCCGTTTTAGTGTACGACCGACTATCATTGTAAAATATATTATAAGGTTGACATGAAATATTTGCCCAGAGTTTGCTTAAATACAAGGCAAAAGTAACAATACATAAGCTAAAATCGGGATTAGGGGGCTTTCAACGGATCATTTTGACTTATCTGAATGATTTTTATAAGTAGACGTATTTATATGATATTTTATTAAGTACATGACCTTATGTGATTATTCTGTAATAGTAGAAGGGTCTTATTTGACCCTTTTCCCTTTAATTTAGTTGCACTTACGGTGTTTTTACTTGGACCACATTTTCTGGTCTGGTCTTGTATTGTTTGCTTAAATCTAGTTTGGTCTTGTCTGAATTGATCTGGTCTGATAGATGTTTGGTCTCTGTATATTTTGTAACTGCTGAAGTTTGGTCTGGTTTGATCTGGTCTGTTAAAGTCTGGTGTAATTTGGATTGGTCTGGTCTAAACTGGTTTAGTTTGGTCTGGTCTGGTCTGATAGATTTTTTATCTGTGTGTATTTTAAAACTACAAGAGTCGGATCTAGTCGGTTAAATTCTAGTATGATCTTATATGATCTATTTAAGTCTGGTGTAAGCTGACCTGGTATATTGCTACAAGATAATTAATGCTACAAGTTAAAGTTAAAGAATTTCTCAAAAGCTACTCGGTATAACTTCTCACAAAAGATAATTCATTTTTAAGAAGCTCTTAAAAGCTGGTGTACCAAACCACATAGTCCAAAAGCTTGAATGTATGGTCTTATGTTGATCAAGCATAGGGTATGTTTGGCACGACTAGCTGAAAAGATACTTTTATGAGCTTTTTAGTAACTGTTAGCTTTTAGTGACTGAAAAGATCTTTAAAAGAAAAGGTAGTAGCTGTTTGGTAAAAAGTCGGCTGTTTGATTTAGTCATGTTTGGTATACAAGCTGTTAGGACAAATTAATACTAAAAGTCACGGTCTTTTCTCAGATGCTACTCCCCGTAGCATCTCAGAAAAGATCTTTTATTTTTCGAGAAGCTCTTAAAATTTGTCATGCCAAACACACAACTAAAAGCTTTTAGAGACTTTTTAAACAATACAAAAGTTAGAAGGCAGTGAATTATGTGTGCCAAACATGCACGTAACATTCATTAATTAAGATCTTTTCTAGAAGATGCATGGAGTACCTTTCGATAGAAATATATACTTTTCAATATTAATTATATACATCAGATTGTTATACAAAACAAAATAAAATCAAACGGTCTGCTTTTATCAAACGACACGTTTTTTATCAAATATATTGCGCTCAATTCATGGTTCGAATTCGTATATGACTATTTGAATTCGAAAATCTCAAATAAGAAGACAAATAGAAATAGTAATTTCTATTCGCACACTTACCAAATATAAATATGAATCTTGAAATTATATTTGAAACGAAAGTTATTCAAATATATTAAAATAATAATATGTAGTAATAGTTATTATAAAAAATTATAATATAGTGATAGTAGTAATAGTAATAGTAATAAATCAATAATAATATAAATAATAATAATTACTAATTAATAACAATGATAATAACAGAGATAATCGCAGTAAAAATAGCGGTGATAATAGTAGTGATAATAGCAATGATAATAGCAATGATAATAACAATGATAATATCAATGATAATAACAATGATGATGATGAATGATGATGATGACGACGATGACGATCCGATGACGATTATGATGATGATGATGATGATCATAATAATAATAATAATAATAATAATAATAATAATAATAATAATAATAATAATAATTTAACGTTTTTAAAATATTTATCTATTTTTACAATTATGCTATTCTTTATGTAGTATTATTATTACATTATTTTTCAAAACTATATGAATTTTTATAACGTTTTTCAATATTCCTAATTTGTTAATAAAAAAATAACATGCAATTGAAGGTCAAAATGGCTTGATTGGTTGTATTTAAAAAGTAGGGGTGCTTATATGATGTTTGTTTTAGTAAAATGACTTAAGTGATGTATTGGAAATAATAGAAGAGTATGACCTTTTTCCCTAAAACTTTATGCGCAAAATGATTACATGCAAAGTTTATGAAAAAATCAGTTTCAATGTAATTTAAAAATATATTATTTGATTAAATGTGTATTTTATATTTAAATTACATGCATAGAAAATGCAATGTTTTTTTTTTTGGGAAAAAGTAATTGCATTCTTTTAGAAAATTAAAGCAAGAAAAATATTTTAGATAAATCAATTACCTCTATTATTACTAAAAGACATGTATTTTCCTAATATGGCTACCTGTGTTTTTAGCTAAAATGGTGCATGTTACCATCCATTTTCATGCACGGTAATGTTTTTTTCCCATTTTTAGCCACTTTCATGTTTCACTACGTAAACCTACTATCTCATTATCAATTAATTAAGCTAAGTCACTCGATTAGAGATAAAAGAAGTATGTAGTCATATATTCAGAAAACACATGTCTTTTAGTAATATTGGAGTATTTTCTCAATATATCATTATCATGTATAAAATAGTTTACATGATAGTTTTGAAGTGTTTAAAAAGTGATACATAATTAACATGAAATAATCAACCTAAACTAACTATATGTGTAAATTCTGTAAGCCTCTACATTTGTTGTACAATATAGTCTTTCACATTTTACCAAACATACTCTCATATATTAGTATATACGGAGTATATTTATATATTATACACTTCCAATATATATTATCATGCATGCATGTAGGTTAAACTACAATATCCAGAGGAATACCTAATAAGTGTGATGGGATATTATGGACAACACCATGGAAGCGTTGTGATACGCGCTCTCACCTTTACAAGCAATAGGACAACATATGGTCCATTCGGGATGGAAGAAGGAGAGCCGTTTTCATTATCCGTTAAAGGAGGCACAAGGATCATCGGGTTCAAGGGAAAGAGCGGATGGTATGTCGACTCAATCACCTGCTATGTTGCCCACCTTCCACCTCCCAAAAGCTGCAACGCATTTCAAACATTTCACAAATCACTCAAGAAATTGGCCGGCACTCTGCGTGGTGAGGGTGATGACCACCCGATCAGAAAAAGGAATTTGGCATCTCCAAAATATTAATAACTGGGAAAATAATAAATTTAAAAAATAATGGCCATCACTAATAAACAAATGATAATATGCATTTGAAAATAATATTTATTTGAGTGTTTGTTATAAGTTATTGATGAGCTCAATGATTTGTGTTGGGTATATTATCCCGGCCCACTACTGTTCAGAGGCCCAAAGTATCACCCCGATACGGAGCCCAATTGGCGAGGTCCATTTAGACCTGCTTCGGCCCATTAATGCCTTCTCGGCCCATTAGGCCCGTTGGAAGATAATTGCACCCTTTATATACATATAAAACACAGTTATCTTTCAAAAATCGTTTGACTGCCTTTCCGATTGAATTTTTTTCTGAAATTTGGTATGGATGTACTACACTTGATGAAGAACATGATATAAAAAAATTCATCGAAAAATTACCCCGGGAAGGCTCTCAAAACGTGGAGGCCGCACGGCGGCTCCAGTAAGGTATACCTTACCAGAAAATTTTCCTCTATATATATATATATATATATATATATATATACACAAACGACCCAAATAAAGAACTCTCACTCGCATGGACCCCTCGTCCAGACAAGGGTCCATGCTAGAAAATATATGAATCAGACCATAGGCACCCCTGACATGCCTCAGTCCGTACAGGACCCCGACCTCCATCACCTCATTGAGGCATAAACTAACTCAAGGCAAAAGGCCCGCATTTGTGAGGGCCCCAATACCTAATCCTGGATCACCTCGTCCAAACACGGTGTGAATGCCTAATGAAGTCACACATAAGGGCTCTCACGCATAGGGGGGAGCACGGGTCGGGTTCGGGTCGGGCGGGTTCAAAAACCCAAGACCCTTTCGGGTTTCGGGTGACTTGAATGGATACCCGATCCTATGCATTTAAAATAACTTAATTTCGGGATTTTTAATTTCGGGTTAATTTCGGGTGCAGGTCGGGTATCAGGTTAATTCGGGTTACAAAATTAGCAATAAAAAATTCAAACTTTAAATACACTTTGAAGTTTACAAACCAAAATGGCAAAATGGAAATCTTAAAAGTTAAAACTAAAACATTACAGAGTTTAAGTCCAAACAACATGAAATATGTAAATGTTTGGGAGTTGGCCAGTTGAGAACTTGGGACTACAAACAGAATTTACGAATTACAATGTTATAAAGTACAAACTTATAAATGTTACTCCCTCCGTCCCGCTATGATTGTCCCATTTTACCTTTTCGGTCCGTCCCACTAAGATTGTCTCATACCTTATTTGGTAAAGTTTGTGTGGTTCCAAATAATTCCTACTTTATTCTTACTTTATCAATTCAATATCAACCACATAAACTCACTTTTATTAATAACCGTGCCACTTTCTCTTGTCCCAAACTTAGGGGGACGGAGGTAGTACAACTTTATAATCTGACATTTAAAATTCGAAATAGGCAGAATCATAAGTTCCCACTTGACACTTGAGTAATTGAGTACTTGACCACTTCCCAGCTTGAATATGCCATAACTTAACAAGTTCATTACGTGGATACAACATAGAATACATAAACAAGTATCAAATTCACAAAGAATTGAAGTATACAATGGAAACAAAAACTTAGAAGAAACAGATTAAGTCTTTTTACAAAATCAGAAGCTCCCAAATGACTATACAAGATAATGAGATGACTCGAAATGCTTATTATCATTCATAAAGGATAGGGGGCATCTGCTACCATTTCATTTCTCACTTCTAAAAACTTATAAACATCAATGAGGGTTAGTACCCTTATGGGAATGAAATTGTGTTGGTGTAACATTGTAGCTATATATGCTTATACATTATGGTAAAGGTTTAGTACAATGGTTATTTCTTCAGTGCACTACCCGCGCCTTCCGTTAACTAAACCCACTGTTTACTAACGCCATCTCCTCCGTGTTTATTCTTTACGCATCTCCGTCTTGGTTTCACTTCCGAATCCCTAATCTATCTATTCATACACAGGGCAAATGTGTTTCGATGGAGACGAGTGCTTCCCAGAGCACTTAAGCCATGTTTTTCACTGAGAAACATATAGCTTCCTGATTCGCATAGCAGCAGCACCCTGAATCACTTCTATCTTCCTCGATCCGTTTCTTTTTTTGTGTCTGAGTTATTCGATTTGCCGTCCAATTGTGTTATTCGATTTGCCATCCAATTTTATTTTATGCGTTCCTATCTTGTTCGATTCACCATTTATCCTCATTGAAGCTGTTAATAATTAATGCTCACCTTCCTTGATTTGCAGGTGCTCCCCCTCAACAGTTGTGAGACCCGAGAGGGTGTGATAACTGATAAGTGTCTTGGTTAAAGATCAGTTGGTAGGGATTGGCTAAAGAAATATCCCAATTCTTGTATGTCACCTCAATAATTTCTGTCACCTGGTATTTCACTTATGCATTACAAGCATTTTAATTGCTTAGCTGTTATTAAATTACTTTATTAATTTTCTATGGAAGTAAAGAAGGATCACTGTACTAATGTTACTGGTATCAACGGTTCACTTTAACAGTTTAAATCTATACACTTTAATTTCACTAGGTTTCGTTTTTTTTCATTGATTAAATAGGACATGTCGGTTGGACTGGATGCTTAGAAGTTCATGTTACTTTTACAGTTTATCAATGAGTTCCTTTGGCCTTACTGCTAATGTACTTCTTTATCATATAGCTTTATGCCAATGACAACATTTTAAGAACTCTCTGCTATGCGCACTATAAGTAATGGATTTTCAACTTCCAAATCAAACAACACTGCTTTTATGTAATATAGTAACACAACCTTTATTTTACTGTCCCATAGTGAATTTATTTTCATCCAATCCTTTCACTTTGTCAGGAAACGAAGCTTCATGCTCACAAAATCTATTGAAAAATCATGAGATGATTGTAATTAATAAGTCTTATTTGAACTAAAGTAGTAAAGGATAAAACATGTAGCTTGATGTTGAAAGCTCACTTTAGATGATAGTAATAATAAGATAAAGGGATAGGAAGGATAAAGGGAGAAATCTCATTCAACTGGAATAGGCTATTGATTGTATTTTGGAAAGGGAGTGGGTCCTATTTTCTAGGAAATGAATGAGATGACCCTGTTTTTCTTTCTTACGCAAGTTATCCTTTCTCCTTCTATTGTTCTCAGGCTTTCTTCTCTTACGAAGTATTTTATTTATTAAGCTATATGATAAAGCTATATGATAAATGCATTCAACTGAATAGCCTTAAAGAAATATTTAAAAACATACTTGTATTCAAAGGGTCAACTGAATAGCCTTAAATGGTCAACTGAATAGCCTTAAAGAAATCTTTCTAATTGTTTTTTCCGTTGTAGCTATATGTAATGCATTCAAATGTATTCATTCATTCCTAAAAACAAATCTGCTTAATAAAAATAGAAAGGATTAGTTGCAGCCTTGTAGGTAAATTTTCTTGTCTCAATTGGTTCAGAGTTGTATGTATTACCTTTTTGGGAACTGTATCTAATATTCTAATATTCCATCGGGCGTTAACATAAAGAGATTTAATCTGCCTTAGCTTTCATAAGTGTGATATTTTTATCATTCTGTTTTTGTTAATTAATTGGTAAAACAACTAAACTGATTGTGATCCATGGTAGTTTTTATATGGGTTATCCTATGTGCTTTCATCTTTTGCAGCTTGTTCTATTTTAATTCCAAAATCTTTTGGGAATAATGCTTGGATGTTGATGTTGTTGTAATGCTTCAATGTATGGATTACAGACTTACATTGATGTTATTGATACTGAGACCAACAAGTCAATTGGGTAAGTGTCCCAGGGAAAATGTTAATAACAAATATTGTTAAGATGGGTAAGCTGCAAAATAAGGCTCCACATGTTCCAAGTAGTGAATCATCGCAACCGGTTAGTAGACACAACTTTGCTCCGAGGCCGCCATCTGGAGCTCAACATGATGACTGGCCTTTGATTAAGCAGCAATAAGCTATTGAGAGAAGTTATTTATATCAGATCCTCTCACTTCACAACTGCACCCGGATTTGTCTAATATGGACTTGAATAGAAGTAAAACAACAGTCACAGTTAGATGAGGTTCCGGAAGCAGTAGAAAGTGGCATTAATGGTGACAGTCTCGTGGTGCCCAGGTTTCTTCATGATAGGAAATTGCTGGAGGATACTTCTGTAGGTGCAGACAGTGACCATGGTTGATACCAGCCTCCACTTTATCATGGTGTTGATGAAAGCGAAAGTGAGTTTATGTGCGCTAATTTCTTTAGAGGTTTATAATTAAACACCAAGAAAAAATGGCAAACCCAACATTTGTGCTTGTAAGATAAGACAGATAACGAGGGAACTTGCTAAGCTCCGAATTTTGATTATGGGCCCAGGTGGCAGGACAAATCTTCTATGCCCCCGTACCCCTAAGCAGTTCACTACGAAAATCCTGAGGAGTTGATCACCCTGTCCAACGAACTATACTAAATTTCACTAATAAATAGGGATCTTTTTCAAATTTCAACCAATGATGTACTTTTAGACCTTAGTCACAATTTATTAATTTCGTATAAATTAAAGTGAAGACACACACATACCACATTTAAATAAAAGTTAATATATTTACTTTTAAGAAATACTCTATAAATTGTATTGGGCATTTAGCCCATCGCGCAACGCGCGTAACAACAACTAGTATGAACTGAAAGATCAATGCCTACCTTAAACCCCTTAGATTCAGTAATGAATGGATGCTTCATCATTGCTAGTTTACCGGATTACATAATATATCATACATATCATACTGATATGTTAATAGTGTCACACGATAGACAGAAAAAGAGCATGACAATCCAATTCTATTTCATATGAACTCAGACTTAATACAAGCTTAACAGCAACATACCACTATACTGGTACAAGACATGAATAAGTATCAAATTCACAAAGAATTGGAATATACTATGAAAATAATACCTAGAAGAAACAGATTAATACTTTTTACAAAATCAGAAGCTCCCAAATGACTATACAAGATAATCAAATGGCTCAGAATGCTTATTATCATTCATACAGGATAGGGGGCATCTGCTACCATTTCAATTCTCACTTATGAACTGAAAGAGCAATACCTACCCTAAATCCCTTAGATTCAGTAATGATTGGAAGCTTCATCATTGCCAGTTTACCAGATTACTTAATATATCATATATATCATAATGATATTTAACAGCAGCATATCAATACAATATGATTACTTAGCTTCCACTCCTGTCAAGTTAGATATATCTTTGAACTTTTGAAGTCTAGCAGGTGAGTTCCTAACATACTTAACAGCTTCCCTAATTCTCATTACAGAAGTGTCAACATCTCTAAGGCCATCTTGGACAGCTAAGTTCAAGATGTGTGCAATGCAACGCATATGAACACACTTCACTTTCCCAGAAGAAGCACCCCAGGATATCATTTTTTTCTTAAAAAACCCAACAACAGTATCATTACTACTAGCGTTATCAGCAGTCACAGTAAAAATGTTTCTCAGACCCCACTCAAGGAAGCAATTCTCTAGGGCTTTAGCTAGGTACTCCCCTTTGTGAGAAGTGACAGGGACAAAGGAAATGACTCTTTTTAGAAACTTCCACTGATCATCAATGAAATGAGCAGTTATATACACATGTAATTTATCCTCTGTACAGAGGTCCATGTATCAGTGGTTATATTGACTCTTTGACCGTGTCCCCTGAACATCTTTTTTTTTGGATAAGTCTTTCATCAAGGTATATTTGATAGATGTCTCTAGCAATTGTCCACCTAGAAAGAATTACAAATCTAGGACATGTTACAGACATAAACTTCCTAAAACCATGTATGTCTGCAAATCTAAAAGGAAGCTCATCAATGATTAGCATTTCTCCTAGAGCTCTCCTAGTAGCATCTTGATCAAAGACCCAGGTTCCTATGACCCCAATATTTTCATAAGGGTGACCTGGCTGTGGAGGGACTAATTGAAAGGTTAAGAGGGCTTGTCTAGTGTCTTTAGCATGAGGATTTTTTGAGCAGCTAAGCATGTGATTTCTGATGGAGGAAGTACCATGTTTTTTTAGTGACAACAATATATTTTGGCACAGTAACCACACTTCCCCTTAATAACCACACCTTTGCTATCCTAAATCTTGATAAAGTGCTCCCAAATCTTAGATCTGACTTCAACCTGTTTTCTTTTTCGTTCGGAAACAGGAGGTGGATTTGTGACTGCAGTTGGGTCATTGGTAGTGTTAGGATCACCAATTTCAACTTCCACCACTGTTTCTTGACTCAAATGAGGCTGAGTTCCAAATAAAGAGATAAGATGAATGAAATGACTCCATCATCTACCTTGCAAGTTGCAATGTATGGATTGAGTTGTGAATGACAAAATTGAAACATTGACCTTATTTGACTTCCAAAGCAGCAGGATGCCTCCAGCAAAACACTGATCTCTGTAGTCTCAAATTTATAGGGAAATCGGCTTACCACCCTGACCCCCTTGACTTCGTCCCCCTACTTAATATTATCTTTAACGGTTTCTTATTAAAAACGACAGAAAACCGATAATTGATTTGAAGTAAAAATTAAATGAAGTATCCACTATGAAAATCTCTCCAAAAAGAAAATTAATATAAATTTATAAATTAATTACTAAAAGTTGCATAATTATTAGTCTACGACTCTACTTAAAAAACGGGACATGTGTAGAACAGTAGATCGCTTACCGTACATATGTCGTGTCAAATTGCAACAATCTTCAATCTTCTCCAGCGGCGCTATTCCCACCCAATTACCCAAAAAGGAAAATGAGAAAACCCCAGGCGAAGTAGCCGCTTTGTTTCTCTCGCCGTTATCTCCCCCATTTCCGATCCGTTCGTGAACAGTACCAAATCTGGCCGTCGACGGTCTTCACTCCGAGGCAGACTCTGTCTCTCCCCCATTTTTCTTTTATCTGTCAAGCTCAAGAAAAAAACCAAACTTAAATCCTGTAACCGAGAGAGAGTTAAAAAAAGATGACAAATTGGGGGTTCTAGAATTCTTTATCTCAGATAATGCTCGCTTTCTCAGATCCATTTCCTCCCAATTAAATAATCCCTTCAAGGTTTTCGGGTGTCGTTTTTTGGGCTTTTCGGTGAGACCAGGGTTTTGACTCTCTTTCTTTATATTCTCGTGTTTTTAGCTTGATCAAGAGGGAATGTGGATTTTATTGGTAAAGGAGGTTGGGACGCTGGGTCAATGTTAAACTGCTGAGGAACACTTGTTTAGTTTTTAATCGTTTTGTCTTACACCCTATGGCAAGTTCTGTTGAGTGCTGCCCTAAATCTATTGAAGCTTCTGCCGGAGGGTTGGTGTGGGTCCGCCGTGGAAATGGGTCTTGGTGGCCGGGTCAGATTATAGGTCAGGAAGAACTGGTAGAGAGTAGCACGGCCTCACTCAGAGAAGGGACTCCAGTTAAGCTCATAGGAAGAGAAGATGCAAGTGTGTAAGTGCTACGTATTAATCTGCCATTTTCCTCCTCTTTTTTACATTTGGTTTTACAGAGTTATATATCGCATGTTGGTTCTTAAGAATAATTAGTTCTTTATCTTTAGAGGCCCAAATCCCAATTTCAGTAGCAAGTTAATCTGCCCAAATAGTGTTGGAAAGTAATGATTTCCATACTCCCAGGCATAGCCTCTTTCATAAGAAACCTGTTTCTAAATTATGTGAATTGAGAGGCTGATGGCCATATATGGATGCCTTTTATATCTTTTTATGCATTTTCCATTTATTATCATTATTTTTATATTGAAACTGGCAGAAAACTGAATGCATTACGACTTCGTCACTTCGATAAAACTAAATTGTTTCTTTCATGCTCTATTGCTCTTTTTTGCTTCTTGGCCCCCATACATGAATTTCGTTGGTTTTGACATGTCAATAATTCAATATGCTACTGTCTTCCACTTGGCAATATAATTATCTGGTTCTTAATTTGATATCATCTCAGCAATTAATAGAATTCATTGGGCTTTGTGAATGGGACAATGGGTAAACATTTAAAAAGTATTTTGATGCATGTTGTATGCAGAATGACTCAGATAATATACAGTTGTAAACTGGACAATTGTTCAGGTATGGTTGGCGAGTATATCATTAAAGGGCATAACTGCGCACTGCAGTTTGTTATGTCTATAATATGTATACAACCATATTTAGAACTTATGTAAGTAGTATCACTTTTACTATTATGCTTATGGTTAAGGTTGCCAGTTTTTTTTACATGTAATATACAAGTGTCTTTTTGGAAAAATAGTGCCATGACTCATGAGATAGTGAATGGCAGCCACTTCCTTCCAACCAAAGTGTGTTTTACATTTTATTCAAGGGGCATTCTTTATTTGACATGAAAAAAACTTTTCCTTTCGGTTTTTGAGGCATTTTCCAGTAATTGGACTAGTAAGTGGGATATTTATTTATTTATTTATTTATTTATTTATTTATTTATTTATTAGTTTTGCATAAGTTATTTTAAATTGTCTTAACTTTTAAAGTGCCACTGCTTCAATGTTCACGAAAGATGAGGGTAAAGTGAGGGCAAACCTTTACAAACCTTTTCATGCAGAGATTGCAAGTATTTCAATAATTAGGATGTTGTTAGTCCAAAATGCTTGATTTGTATATCCTTCATTTCTTTGAAATGTAACTTGCTCATTAATTCCTTCTCCTTCTTTCAGTACAATTTTTTGTTTAATCTAATTTCATTCAAATTTCCATAGATTTTAAAAGTTTTCTTAAATTTTTTGTTGTTTTCAGGGACTGGTATAACCTTGAGACATCTAAACAGGTCAAGGCTTTTCGTTGTGGGGAGTACAATAAGTGTATTGAGAAAGCTAAGGCTGTTGCAGCTAATAATGCCAAGAAGGTAGTTAAACATACTCGAAGAGAAGATGCCATTCTTCGTGCTCTTGAACTTGAAACTGCCTCTCTAACAAAAAATGAAGAAAATATAGGCAAGGAAAGCAATGGTTCTGAAGGCTGTTCAACTTCAGATCCAGAACTGTCTGAACCAAACACTGTTAGTGCTGAAGAACAGCTCGTACAGGAAGGCAGTCAACAAAATGGAACCTTGTTGAGTGATTCAGATGGTGGTGGTGGTGGTGGGATCGCAGAAGGAGCTAAACGCATGAGAGGTCTTAATGACCTGGGGACTGGGGTGGTCCAATTATTAAAAAGGAAAAGATCTCAAGTGGCACATGTTCGCGAATTTTTGAAAAAGAAAAGCCGTCGTCGGCGCCGCTTGATGAAGGTTCTAGAGAGTACAGCCATGGTGACCAATCCTGTTGTTTCTGAAGGCGGCGTTCCCAGTCCAAATAGACCAGATTGCAAGGTGATGGAGAAAGCTAGTCCAAGCATTCCGGAGTTGCCTGAAAATGGTGGTGTACAGACTAGCTTGTTTGACGTTCCATTTATCGCAGGAGAGAAAAAGTCTCCAGGTATACTACTTTTTCAATCTCTAGTCACTATTTCTTCACAAGGATATCATCTTTCTTCAACATACTCATATTCTCCGGTTATTTAAAAAAAACCTAAGAAATTGGTGTGTTGTTTTACAACACTTCTCTGATACGCTAGGTAACTTTATTATTGACTTAACAACCTTATCCACCATTGTTTTTTGAATAACTAATTTTTTTCTTTGTCAATTGGTTGATAATGGAAAATCCCAAGGCTGGAGGTTCTTTGTTTAGCTGGATTGTTGTAAGAGGACCATTTTAGTTATTTTCTTCGTGTAATCTTTAATTAGTTTATTAGTAAAAACTAATTTAGATAAAAAAATCACCATTTAGCAGATTCAACCATTTAACCATAACTTCAACAAAATAAGATAATTTCAGTCTTACAGGCTCTTATTTTCAGAGCTTGTTTGGGTAGTCACTTCTGGCTTATTGGCTGATCCTGATAATGTGCAGAATATGTAGTTTTTATTTGTTTATTCGCCTGAACTATATGATATCAAACACTTTAACTTCCATAATATTCGGCCGATTCAGGCCGGTCCTGCCTTTCAAGCCCAATAACTATTACCAAACGGGAACTTGATCTGGTTTTTTATTTCTTATGTTTCTTTGTCTAATTTTGAGATGCACAAATTGTCACCAGGCTTGTCTCCAGTTGTATCATTAGCATCTCAGAAAGCTGAAATTGGTGTAGGAGAAAAAGGTAGTCAAAGCAGTGAAGTTGGAACAATGTCATTAGGGATCAACAATGGTGAGCTCATCGAGTCGGGATCTAAGAGTTTGACTAATTTGGAGGTCAGTGATGTTAGCAAAGGGATAGAGAAAGGGACTTCAAAGTGGCAGTCAAAACGAAAGAGAAACTCCAGGCACATACGGCAAACCAAAGTATGTGTTTCGGGGAAAAGAACAGGTGTAAATGGCAAATCTCTCGCATGCTCAAAAGGTATGTATCCACATATTTTTCCTTTGTATATATAGTACTATTATATTCCCTGATTATTCGACATTTTAAATTCTGGACATGTCTTTCAGTCAGTTTTTTTGTTGTATATCTATTTCTCTCATTTGCCAAAATTTATATACAAATAGTCTCTCTAGTTAAAGTTCGTAGTTTATTACTTCAAATGCTCCAATAAAAGTTGTCATGATTAATTTGTGTCCCGAAATAAGAGTCTGGTTTGAAAGTCAACTATCATACAGTATAAAGTAAAAGTCCTATAGAAGCAACAAGCAATTAATTCAATTCAATTACTCCAACTAATCTTGGAAATAAGTTCTAGGAGCATAAGTGATCTTTCATAACCTGAAAAACTTAACCTTGATTGGGTTGACTTAAATAAAAACTTAAAAAGGTGTATGGTGGCACATTACTCAGAGTCTTAAACAAGTCTCTTTCTTTGAGATGGTAGGGTAAATATTAGGGTTTATGGGGGGAGGGATTGTTGGCATTCTATATAGCCAAGAGTGCTCCCATGATCAAGCGGAGATTTTTTGTATAGTTTACCAAAAAAGAGTCAAACAGATATTTAAGTTTGAATAAATTTAATTAAAAGATATCAGTGGGAATAATATTTTAAAGCAGTTGTACCTTAACAAATATTTCCATCATTTGCAATGGAGCCATAGACTTGCAAGTTTTTGGCTTGAAAATATGATAGAATAAAGCAAAATAGCTCACTAAACTGTCTGCGCTTCTTTGTTATGAAGTTGCAGTCAGTCCATGCATTTTGAACGCGATTTTCATAATGGGTCATCCGAAAACAGTCTCTCTGTGCTTGAGGTAAGAGTGCGTACATCCGACCCCCCCTACCCCACCGTAGGTGGGAGCCTTTGCGGCACTGGGGTGATGATGATGATGATGAGTTGTAACTTAACATAAAGATTGTACTTTGGTAGGACACATAGTTGTTACGGCGTCGCCTAGGCACCGACTAGTCGTCCTGGCGATGGGGAAGGGGCGCCATGGTTACTCGACTCGCCTGGCGTCGACTAGGCGTAACTCGGCGTCGACTAGGCGCCATGGTGACGCCCAACGCCTGTTTTGCCGCTTCGGCCCAACATATTAGATTAGAGAAGATGTTGAGTTTTAAGATTTAGCCGTCGGCCATAACCCTAGGGCCATCAACAGTTCATCCCGTAGGTCGATTCACTGATGGAAGTCGCCACAGTACGCTGCCGCCTCATGTCACTGTATAGAGCACTTGCTCCACCTCTGTCTCTGTTTACTTCTCTCGTTCGGCGTCCTTGTTTTCAAAAGTCTCTAGCTGATCTTTATTTTTTTGAGTTTTGTTTGGTTTGGCATACAGCTGGACTCGATATATTTTTAATGTATTATGCATTTTTCTATGGAATATTTTTTTATGTGCACTGTTTATGTACAGTAAACTTCTACTCTTTCATTTATTTCATGTCCAGCTGGAATCCATGCACCAAATTCAATCTTTGCTACCTAATGTCTGCTATACTATTGCATATTATCTACCATTAGTACACATTTTAGTTATTTTCTTTGTGAAAATTTATACTGGACATTTTTTCTAGAAACATAATCTATTGTTTCATATATGTTTGTTTAAAATAATCTGAAATATATTATTTTATTATATGTAAATTTAAATATTACATATGGCACGACTTGTCGCCTAGGCGGACGCCTAGGCGATATGGCGGTCGGTTGGCGCCGCGCCTCGCCTAGCCGCCGTGACAAGTATGGTAGGACATGACTATTTTTTTGGGACTGATGTAGTATAAGTTTAACAATTGGTAGACTGAATTTCTAAATTTGAAAGACTGGCATGACACATTATGCCAAAAAATGGAGGGACCAAGTGTAATTTTTATTTTTCTAAATTTATTAACTTCTTTACCAATTTGCTTGTTATTACAGCATTTTATACCAATTGCAAGTCAAAAACAGTTGAAGAATTTCAGATGGACGAGTTTCAAGGTTGGGGCTGGAACATCTCACAGGTAAATGAACCAAAAGCTGAGGTGTCGAATCCTCACAAATTACGGCCTTATCGCCAGTCCCGCTTTACCGTGAACCCTAAGTATGAGTCATCAGATTTCTCTTTTCTAAACCACAAGGCCAAGCTGTCTCCACTGTATGATGTCAACCTGGAAGTGAAATCCAGCTATGGCCGATCTCAACAGGTTCCTTATGTGTCTCTAACAAGCAAAATAAATGGCGGCCGTCCAATCACCGGTCACCCACTCACAGTTGAGGTATTAGATGATGGCTCCTGTGCTCAACTACTGCTAATGAGTGCTTCTGATTGCTGTGATGATTTAGAAGGTGTGAATTTATCCAAACGGAAGTCTTGTAGTAGGAAGTTTAAGTCAAAGAATAGTGATCTACTGTCTTCGAAGAAGATGAGGAAATTGTCTTCATTAACCGGTTCTCGCAAGCAGAGCCAAGACAAGACAAAAGCGAAGCTTGTGGGGCCCATGATAGCTTGGGTCCCGCTGAAAGTAGTGTTCAGTAGGATCAATGAAGCATTGACTAGTATTTCATCTCATGGAACCAGCAATGGTTGACTCTTCTTTTTTATTTGTTCAACTGAAGATTGGTGTCTGCCCTGAAAGTACAAATTCTCGGAAAATGGTTGGATATGGGCACTATGCATAAACTGTGTAACTTTATTGCAGATGTAAAGAATGATGCTCTCAGTAGTAGATAGGAAGTTTCCGGTTTTGTCTCTATTACTTCCAGACTAGATGTATCCAAGTAAAATAAGGAAAAGAAGAGAGAAATGGTGATCCAATCTTGGCTGGTTAAATGTAAAGAATTTTCTGTTACTCTTGACATTTGGCTGCTAACGAATTTTGGACAAGGATTTATTCCTTCCTGGACTGAAACTTCAAACTTCGTTGTTTTGTTAGGAATGTAAAGTGCCATTTTTTTATGTATTTGGCATTGCTGGGTAACTAAGTATTCATTGCTCATAGCCTCATACTGTATGCCTGCATAAACATTGTGATTTTCCAAATTACCCCCTCACCTGGTTGCTTTGGTTTCACATGTTGAGTGATGAGTACTGGGTGACAGACTTCCAATTGCAGTTTGGATGTAATATAGTGTCATTTTCTTATTATTTTAACCATGTTTCTCTATTTTTTAAGGATATTACTACCATGATAGTTTATTCTCATGAAGAGAAAAATCTAAATTAGAAGTGAAAGCGTGTTTGCTTGAACACAAAAACATGAAAAATAGAAGTGTTTAAAACCTGTACTGCCACCACGACAGAAGACAACCACCAGGTCCTCCACCTATTCTGGCTATTGGAAATGTGAGATGATAAACTATAGCCACTGCTACTAGCATGTAGCATCAACTAAGAACATACCATTGCATCTAAGTAAACATTTGATCTTTTTTTATGCATCTGAGTGTGACAATAAATTCATTTATTCTCACTATATAAAGTTTAAGTTGGTATTTGTAATAAAAAAAAAATCATATTAGAAACTGTGCTAAGAGTTCCATTGACTTTGAATATATGATACAAATAGAGTTACCTTCACAGTATGAATAGTGAATTGATATTTCTTTTTGAACTTAAAAGAGGTGTTAGACTTGTAACTGAACTTTCAAAATTTATTTGTGTATGTTGTACGCCACAAATAGTGGTGGACAGAACCGGGCCGGTTCGGGCCTCGGTTCAGTAATAGCAGGCCCGAGCCCGAACCGGGGTAGGGCGGTCCCGGGTCCGGTTCCGGGCCGGACCGGGCCGGTTCGGGCCACCCGGTTTAATTTTTTTTTCCTTTCTCCCCCCCCCCCCACCCCCCACCCCAAACCCCCCCAAACCGGCCTAAAAAGATAGCCCAAGCCCAACAGCCCAAAAAAATGAAAAAAAAATAGATTTGGCCCGGACCCGGGCCCGAACCGGCCGGGCCGGGCCGTCAAACCCATGAACCGAGCCCGGAACCGCCCCACCCCCGGGCCTCCGGCCCGAACCGGACCCGGACCCGGAAAACCGGGCCGGCCCGGCCCCGCACAGTAGCGGGTCGGGCCGGTCCCGGGCCGGGCGGCCCGAACCGAGGCCATGCCTAGCCACAAATAGCCGCAAGCCCGCAAATAAACTTACAACTTACTCCGTACTTCTTTACCAATCCTAAACTGAATTGGCAACATTATTTTTTGGCTTTTCAGACTTATCAACCAGCTTTTTCACCAAACACGTAACTTTTGCTTCCGCGCGCTGAATTATGTAATAAGCAGAAAAAGTAAGGTTGAAGTTACTTTTTTGGTTGTATTGGCTAAAGTTACTGTAGATGACCATTTTAGCTATTTTTACATATAATTTTTTCTTTATTTTATTAATAAAATATATTTTAAAAATATTTTTCTTTAAATCAGTATAATCAGCCAATGCAGCCACTTCAGCCAGAACTTCATAAATTTCAGCAGAATCTGCCAAATCAGCCGATTTTTGTGCTACCAAACGGGCTCTAAATCACGTCCGAGTTATGGGATAGACAAAACTATATAGTAAGTCACGTGGCGGATTGACGGGTCTAGATTTTGCACTGCACCTCGCCCCTATCCAATTAATTGTCATGTCTAAAAATACAATGATTTTTATGTACATGCCTTAACAAGTCACAAAAGTTCTTTGTGATGTAAAATGAGGCGTGTAGAGATGTCTACATGAAGTAAAAAAAAAAAGATTGATGGGTAAAGATTCATAAAAAAATCTTGCTCTACACATTCGTGCTCATGGCGGTGATTTTTTTTGTGAACATGTTATTCACATATAAAAACAATCTTTCACCGACATATGCATTGATATATACAAAAAAGTGTGTACAATAAAAAATTGTGTCATATTTATGCTAATTATCCTTTTGTCTGTGAATAAGTTACTCATAAATTAAAAAAATAACTCATTCACCAACATGTTTATTGATGTGTACTAAAGAAGCATGTACAAATAATTTTTTCCCAAAATTGGGCAGTCACATTGGTGTTAAAACATACAAAATCCATAATGTTCCTCCAAAAGATCGAATCCCCAACTCCAACAGCCCCACACATCCCGACAAGACATATGAGAGGATGTAAATCACGATAACTCAGTTAGTCCAATGGTAACAAGTTTTATACTCATGCGCATCAGAAATTCTGCTCAACATGCAAAAAATGTACTTCCACATTATCATTACTCCAATTTTCCAACCAGTCAACCAACTCATTCAATCATTCAAGCTACAAAATGCATAACATAACGTAGTCTTACCGCGGTCCGTGTGTACGATCATAGTGCTGTGCTGACTAGGGAAGCATTATTTATTTATTTTATTCGAATACGGACCCGTTTCCATTTCTGAGAAAAAGAAAACTCTCGCCATTTGATCACACACAAACTCTAGAAAACCGTCAAACCCTAACCTGAATCGCAAATCATTCCCGACGAAGAAATCATGGGGAACGCAGACAAATTGATGAATCAGATCATGGAGCTCAAGTTCACGGCGAAGAGTCTCCAGCGCCAGGCTCGTAAATGCGAGAAAGAGGAGAAGGCCGAGAAGGTCAAGATCAAGAAAGCAATCGAGAAGGGAAACATGGACGGAGCTCGGATCTACGCCGAGAACTCTATCAGGAAGCGCAGCGAGCAGATGAATTATCTCCGCCTCGCTTCCAGGCTCGACGCCGTCGTGGCCCGCCTCGACACCCAGGCTAAGATGACAAACATCGGCAAGTCCATGGGAAACATCGTCAAGTCCCTCAATAGTACCCTCAACACTGGGAATCTCCAGAAGATGTCCGAGACAATGGACACTTTCGAGAAGCAGTTTGTGAATATGGAGGTCCAGGCCGAGTTCATGGAGAGCTCCATGGCCGGGAGCACCTCCCTGTCCACCCCTGAGGACCAGGTCAACTCCCTTATGCAACAGGTGGCCGATGACTATGGGCTTGAGGTTTCCGTTGGGCTTCCACAGCCTGCTGCTCATGCCGTGCCCACAAACACGGTGGAGAAGGTCGACGAGGACGACCTTTCAAGACGCCTTGCTGAGCTCAAGGCCCGTGGGTAAACGATGTTCTACAAGTATGTTGTGCTTATAGCACTGCAGATTGACCACTTCCATATACTGTAATTGTGTATTAAGTGAATTTCTACATGTCTGTCGTGCCTGCCTATGCCTTGGTGTATTTATATTTACATTTGGAATGTGGAGTTCATTTCCATTTATGCCTTAAGGCTCTCTTATTATGAAATTATTATGTGCAGCATCATTCTTCTATGTGCTGATGCGTTTACAGAGAGAGTACTTGAATATGTTTGATGCTAAGTAAACATCTTCTCTGGTATTTGCATTGCCTACAAAGAGGTTATTCTTCTATGTGCTGATGCCTCATTATTTGTTTATCCCTACTTGCATAGGGATTATAATCTCGTTCATGGAGTTGTAGTTTTACACATTAATAGTATTAAGAAGTTTATTATGGGCTTCTTTCATATAATTAGCAGGATGAAATCGTTGAATTTGTTGAAAGTTTTGAAAGAAGTGTTTGGTAAGATCAATTTCTACAAAATTCTTATAACTTGAATAATGAATAAGCAAGGCCTGGACCCCAATTGTGGCTTAAGTTGGACTTGTGTCATCGTTGGTAAGAGAACAAAATATGTTGTGCATTTTCATTTACTTGATTAATGCTATTACTTGTGTTATTTGAAGCTCGGTGCCAGTTTGCAGTTTACCCTAGCCTTTTTTCCATATGTTATTTGAAGATCAGTCATAATACATTTCTTTTCTATTCTACTTCTTGTATCCAATAAATAAACTTCCCAATACCCTTACCATCACTTCACAATTGTTTCTTTAGTATGTTAGCACATGTATTATGCTAGTATCAATGCTAGGCTTTGAGATTTTTGTTTACCCAAGTTTTGAGTGGTTCATGTGTTACTGGTTCAGTGTGACTGTACAAGAGTAGTTGTTATCAGTTTACATGGAAGATAGTTGTTATAACCCACCTACTGACCTACTATGAATATAGAGCTAGTTATAAAGTCTTTCCTATTTAGGTGTAGGGATCCTTTCATGTCGCCGTCCGGCCGAGGGCATTTGTGGCTGTTCCCGTTTGAATTTTTTGATGATTTTTATTTGAGCATTTTCATCAGTCTAGTCTATGTCCACCAAATTTCAGCTTAAAATTCAATTGAGAAGACGATCAAATAAATTATTGAAAAACATTGTGCTATTTATATAGATATAAAGTACGGTTTTTGTAAAGAATTTATTTAGTCGTCTTCCCGAATGAGTTTTTAGCTGAATTTGGTATGCATAAACTAGACTTGATGAAAAACATGTTCGAAAACTTTCATTAAAAAATCTACCGGGAAGGGTCCCAGATGGCCTCGGCTTGATGGTGGTTCCCGTGAGGCTAGCCTGATACGAAGTTACAAGCTGCCCTCCCTATTTAGCATGTTTGTTTTTAGTTGGGTTGGTTTCAAATCAGATTTTAACAAACCAGTTCAGACTAGATGATATCATACTTTGATAATTGTAAAATGGATATAGAACAAAGATCTATCAGACAAATTCAAACTATATCATACTTAAGATGTTTTTACTTGGACTGTAATTTGCTGGTTTGGTCTGGTCTAGTTTGATAATGTCTGGTCTCTTTGTATTTTTATAATTATCCAAGTCTGGTTCGATTTGATCTGGTGTGGGATAGATTACAATCAAGTAAAAAGATCGTTAAAGCGATCAGATCAGAAAATTAGGGTTGTTGAGTAATGGTTGTTAACAAATTCAGTCCGTTTACCTCTTCGAGCTCGACTTCAATTTTAAACATGTGTGAAAATTACCATCCGAGTTTGAACATAGTAGGCTGAGTTAGGGGCTGTTTACTTTTTTTACTATTAAGTCCTGACTGGATTAAGATGTCTGTCTGTATTAAGACGTCTGTCTGGATTAAGTGACACAGGAATAACAAGCTGTTTACTATGTGTGCTGAATGTGTAGTCTGAATTACTTTAAATGACCAGTTTACCCTTTTGTCTAGAACAAGTGTTGAACATATCTGGAATAACAAGCTGTTTATCAATATTTATCACAATTGTCTCCAGAGATTGATCCTCTACACTGCTATTGAAAATATTTATCAATACAATCAACACCTCAAAATACTACACACACACACACATATGTATTAGCTTCAAAGAACGTCACAATTCATTTGTTAAACTCACTTAAACATGGTAAATTATTGTTAGGGATCCGATTTATATAAATTAAATACTGCAGAAGTAAAATAACGCATTTATGGAGCACTGAGTTCTTATGACGGATAGCAGAGCATAAAGAAGATATACAAATATGATGCATAACTTATCTTGAAGTAAAATGATGAAAAACAACTCTATTTTGGTATAAAAATTAAAAAAAATAGAAAATACACAATCGATGAAATAAACAAGAGAAATACCAGAGAATGGTCTCAAAAACGGAGAAGATTGATATATTTGCTTGGAGAGGGAGATAATCGATAGTGCGTTCGTCATTGGAGAAGCTGTTCAAACTTCAAAGGGCAAATAACTGAATAAGCACGGTTATCTTCAGGGTTACAAGCGCGAAAGATGTCCATTCCCTGTCTAAAGCGGAAGGAGTGATATTTTTACACTGAACGAATAAGTCAAATTTTGTCTGAGCGAATAAGTCCTATTTCAGATTAAGTCCCAAATAAACACAACTGAATGATTGAGCGATTAAGTTGACATATCCATTAATTAAGTTCATTAAGTCACAAGTAAACAGCCCCTTAGGGTTGTTAACAAATCCATCCTTTTTGCCTCTTCGAGCTCGACTTCAATTTTGAAAATAACAGGTTGAGGTTAAGGAGCTTTGAACTCGAATGTGAGACAAGTATGAAGTTCGATTTTTTTATCCGAACTTGCATGTGTTTGTTGAAATTTTAATATATGGAGACATGGAGTACCACTTTAAATTTAGAAAAGCTTAAAATTCGTTAATCACATTGGCATTTAATTTAGTACCATTTTTTTGTACCCTTAAAATCTAAGTTAAGTATACTTTTGGTATCCAATTATTTGATATCTTGATGTTTAGGGATATATTATTCAATGATTGTCTATCAAATCATGTATAAAGTAGGCATCATAAATACCACTATTAAATACTCCGTAATACAGAGCATAAAATTACAAGATTATTGTTTTTTTTAATGGAAAACACATATTTCTTAATAATAAAAATGACCAGTGCCAAAGTAATTCATATAGTCTAAAGTTACAATGGGATGAAATATAGAATTGAAAAGTTTCAAATGAACATAACAACTCGTTAACCCCGCAAAGATGTAGGCTCATCTATCAACAAAGAAGTTCCTTCTACTTAACCAATAATCAAATTTGAAAATAATACTAAAACTACTTTGTGATAGAAAATAAACAAGTAAATCGATTTCATCATCCACCGAAAAGGGAATAATAGAAAACCTGATTTGTTCGGCCACGAAAAGAAATAGGTATAATCCACAGTTTGACCAGCAACAGGGCAGAAATTATTAATATTATCTGTTTGACCAACTACCAAAAAGAAGATTCAATCTAGCGCTCTATTTCTCTCATAGCATGGGGTGGTTCAAGAGGAGAGCGAATAATTGTCCCGCAATCGGCGATGATTGAAGTTTTTTTTGTACTGGCGATGATTGAAGTTAATCTCCCAAAATATCAAGCACGATTAGCATTGCCAACCACCAATAATAAAATTTGAACACCCGATTGGTTCCACTGACGAGGAATACACAAACCCTAGACATCGCTAGAAAGAAATCACATTAAGTACCTAAAGATACTGATGAAAGAAACCTTCTTTCATACTTAGGAGGACAAATATTCTTGATCAATTACAAGATTATGTTAATCACTATAATCTTAATTAAACAATAGATGAATGCGGGAGAGAGAGTTTATTTGTAACTTTACTCTAGTTCTATAATAATTGTGACTTTAGGTATTTTAAGAGATTCAAAAGGGAAATGTTCCCGAAATAGGAGTAAAAATGTTTGAAATTTTTAAAAGGAAAAATTGAAAATAATTATCCTAACTATTACCGATCCGCCATTAATAATCTCAACTATCGATTATTTCTGGATGATCTCAACTATAGGGACCATTTTCCAAAAATGGTCTCTAACCTGTTACAACCTGTTATCCTGATATAGCAGGTCATTTTTAAATGTAAACTATGTCTAAGCTTTAAATAATCTCAACTATAATTGACCTTTTTTTATTAATCCCAACTATCAACTCCCGGCTTTTTGAAGATGTAAAAATATATTTATAAATTTCCAAACTAAATATTTTAAACATGTATAAACAATTACAAAAATTATAAAAATGTACCGAAGTTAAATAAAATATTTTTAGTCATTTTTATTTACATACACTAATTGTTTTTCCTTTTTTCCAGTTTGTTTTCCCATTTGTGTTACCAATTTATGATTTTGTATTATTTTCTTTAATTCAAAATTACACTGTTTTCAAAATGTAAATAAAATTTTAATTATTATTTCAAGCTATTCCCAAGTGTGGACTTTTGGTAAACATTTTTTTATCGTTATTTCAAGCTATTCACAATTTTACATTGGTAGAAATTACAAATACTAAAATGGAATAAATAAATAAAAAATAGATTTTTAGATTAAGCTAGAATAAAGATCTAAATTGTAAAAAATTTAATCACAATTTACTTTTTGAAAATAGAATATGTAAATTTGAATAAAAGAATATAGTACTAAATCATAAATTTGGTAGCATAACTATGACCAAAAAAAGGAAAGGGACAAAATGAAATATTAGTGAATATAAATTATATAATAAATAATTACTAATTTTTTTATTTAATTTCGGTACATTTGTAGAATATTTGTAATTAATTTTTCATGCTTAAAAATATTTAGTTTGGAAATTTATTTTAAAAAAAATCACATCTTCAAAAAATTGAGAATTGATAGTTGAGATTAATAAAAAAAAGTCAACTATAGCTAAGATTATTTAAAGTTTACACATAGTTCACGTTTAAAAATGACCTGCTATACCAAGTTGTAACATGTTAGGGACCATTTTTGGAAATTGGTCCCTATAGTTGGGACCATCCAGGAGTAATTGATAATTGAGATTATTAATGGCGGATCGGCAATAGTTAGGATTATTATTTTCAATTTTTCCTTTTTAAAATAGGGCTGTCATGTTTTTAACATTTTATTCTTTAAATAGAAGTAATTACTGTCAAACTTGGAAAACACTATTATGTTTAAAGTCACGTACTGCCAAAACATGATAATAATTAGTCAAATTTAGAGAATAAAGACATGATACTTTTTTTGTAGAGAAGACATGATACTTCTATTTTGGAATATACAAATGTTTTTAGTTCTATTTAAGATAATTTTCTATTTAGAAATAGTAGGAG